ATCCTGAGGCTAGCTGGCATGCTGCATGCTGGCACCTTGCAATCGCTTGCTGGATTAATTCTGCGGCCCCAGATGTCGCTTTCAGGACAAAGGCAAGATCCAATTCAAAGAGCGCATGCCAGCGGCGCATACAAGTTTACGGACCCCCACGAGCACATCTTAAAGAACCTTTGCGAGAAGCAACAACAATTGTGGCTCTATGGCAAAACAGCAGCCTTCCATGTGTTCAATGATGAAACTGACAATAGTTGCGCTGGCCATGGCTTCCCCCATGGTGTGGGCAGCTTGGTAGGGCCCTTAGCTTGAGACACACACACCCACACACCCACACGCACACGCACACGCACACGCACATGCACACGCACACGCACACGCACACCCAGCCGCACCGCGCACGCGCATGCGCACGCACACCCACACCCACCCACCCACCCACGCACGCAGGCACGCACGAACGCACGCACTCACGCACAAGTCATGAGCTGCCAGGAAGAGAGCTAGTCCTACCATATGTGCTTTGTGAACCGACTGGGCATGCAGCAAGGTTCGGATGCCTCAATGTTTAAGGGATATTCATAATTTTCATCAAATAAAGCCTGCTTGAAGCGTTGAGCAGCTCGTTGCAATGCCTCCTTCCCCGCAGTTCAGGAGTCGCGAGTGCGACGTGGCATGCTTGCAGTACCATGACTTCAAGGTGGGAGCTTGACAAATAAAATGTTGTACTCAACACTGAGACAATGAAGGACAGCCTCCTGCAGGCAAAGACGCAGTGTGCCTGGAACTTGGGTGAGCATGCGTCATGGGCCGCCATTGTCAAGCACCGGCGACAACTTGTGGACGGATACTCCTGAATGCAGCATGCAGAAGCTTGACACTTTGAACACAGACGTAACCAACCTAAGCAGACAAGAGCTGGCCAGCCGAAGTTTCGGATTGCCAAGGAAGAGAGCTCAGACTGTTCGGGAGTTGTCGACTTCTCCGGAAATGGTGGCAAGCATGCCCTTTGCAGGACCTTGGCATGCTGGTTTGATTGTTTGGCTTGATCTGTAACCAGAGCTGTTTTGCATGGAATGGAATTGTTTGCCACTTCCAGGACAGGCTCGGACACACGGCACTGGCCAAAGGCGAGTCGCGCTTGGAGCTACCCAGTGATCCTGTCTGTTCTTTGCGTGGAAGAAGCATGAAGCCCATATGTATGTGTTCTTCTCGGATGCGAATGTAGATATCCAAAGTCCAAAGTCAGACGTACATCTGCCGGACCTTCAGCAAATTGCCAGGTGTGTGTCGAGTGGAAAGGACATTCTGAGCTGTGATAGTGGACTAATAGTGGACCGTGTACAGATACACCCTGCTGCAAAGCACAGCATTCAATCTTGGTGTAAGACCTCCGTCTCACACCACGTAGACAAGTCAATTGCAAAGACTCTCGATGGAATGAGAAGATGCTACTCTCTTCAGTGTTTGCGCCCGACACGGCGGTATGGCCATATCATGCCCCTACCTGCTTGGTTTCGCCAGGAAGAGCAGAGAGCCAGACGAGAAGAAGAGAAGGTACAGAGGACCAGAGCTTGATTGTCTCGCATTTGTCTAAACTACAGTTGTGCTGGCTGGGATTCCTTCCAGTCTTTGCAAGGGCCAAAGAGAAGATGGAGAAGAAGAAGGAGCAGCAAAAGCGAAGGACCTTGCTTCGAGAGCCGAACATCGTTGTTCATTTGCTACGCATTCAGGGAACCTCTGGCGAGGCTCTGTGTTTGCATTCCTTTGGAGAAGCCGCTCGCACAGGCTCTCCGTCACTCCGCGCTGCACACTGTTCCCGTTTAAACTGGCCGCAGGCTTCTCTAAAATCCCACGTTTTGTTTTATCCCAAAGTCAGTGGCATTGTTATTTTCCTTTGGAGCTGAAAACTCTGTGCTGCTCAGTGAAAAACCCAAACATGGTTCTGTTTGGCAAGGCCCCTGCTACTTATCCTGCAGTGACCGTAGACATTCGCTTAGAGAGTCGAGCAAGTTGGGCAATACAGTCGAACAAGTCTGGCTGACCCAGACATAGACGCAACGTGCGGTGCAGTTTGCAGGGGCACAAAGTTGTCAACTCGGGAAGCTGTCAGACATTGCCAAACAGGCACGAGCGATCGCCTTGCAAGAAATTGGCTACAAGAAAGTGCGCGGAAAGGAAGTAGTTGTGCATACAGTATATTTGTTGGTGGTGGACGTTCAACCTCTGCATGAATAACTCCCGTGCGGCATGCGCATCAAACACACATAGTATAATGATTCCTGATCAAACACAAAGCTGGTCTCAGATCACAGAAGCAGCTTCAGAAGGCAGTCGGTAAGTTAATAGATATAGGGCGCTAAGTAAGCTAGTATTTGGAGCGGAGCAGGAGGGAGCAGTTGTTAACTTGGCAAGTTAGGGTCCGGAGTGGAACAGGGCAGTTGGCAAGTCAGTGCTGCTGTTATTGCTACTGCTGCTGCTACTACTTGCGGCTGCGCCTGCGGCTTCTGCTACTGCTACTGCTCCTACACCTCCACCAACTGCTGCTGCTGCTGCTGCTGCTGCTGCTACTGCTAGTACTAGTACTACTACTACTGCGACCGCCCCCGCCCCGACCCTTAAAAAACGTGGCAGGCGTGGGAGCTTGTAGGCCTTTGCGTGGTGAACTCCCTCAAAAACTTGGGGGTCGAAACCTGGATTTGGAGCACCCTGTCTTGGGTTTAAACCCTAAACCCTAAAAACCCTAAACCTAAACCCTAAAAACCCTAAACCTAAACCCTAACAACCCTAAACCTAAACCCTAAAAGCCCTAAACCTAAACCCTAACAACCCTAAACCTAAACCCTAAAGGCAGCGGCAGACATCCCCATAAAGATGCTTGTGGGCGAGCCGCGTGTTTTGTGGGTACTACTACTACTACTACTACTACTACTACTACTACTACTACTACTACTACTACTACTACTACTACTACTACTACTACTACTACTACTACTACTACTACTACTACTACTACTACTACTACTACTACTACTACTACTACTACTACTACTACTACTACTACTACTAGTACTACTACTACTACTACTACTACTACTACTACTACTACTACTACTACTACTACTACTACTACTACTACTACTACTACTACTACTACTACTACTGGGGCGAAGTTGCAGCGATATTGGCCATGGGGTCCATCCCAAATTCTACAGGCTGTGAGACCACTTAAGACAATGGCCACTATTCCAAACTTGCAGGAGAAAAAGAGGCAGGATCAGGGAATGCTTGCCGCGAATGCGAGCCCAGCCTTGTTCGGCAAAGACGAACTTTGCACTGAGGCAAAAACAAGGAGGATGATGTTGAAGTGGAATCCGATTCCTCAGAGGAGGACATGGCTTTCTTTCAAATGCGTGTCCATCTAGCAATTTGTTTCCTGGCCCTGTTGTGCCAGGAGATCGGCGGCCAGGATGCAGCAGCAAGCGCCTCAATTTTCTATTGAGGTTTGTCTCTCATCGTGGCCCAAGAACCGGGAGCCCCTGCTGTTCGTCGTCTGGCTTTGGGTCAAAGTGCACCTCGTCCATTGCGGAAAGACCTTGAGTCTGCTTTTGTGTTGAAGGCAAGAGTCTCTTGCCGTTCATTCCATTCACATGAAAAAGCATTGACAAATGATTTCCGCTTCCTTCATCTACAGCTCGTTCCTCACTGTCGTTGCCATTATCCTCCTACCTTTGTTCACAATAAACAGATTCTACATTCAGCAGAGGTAGTCACAGCCACTCATTAGTCTGCATTAGGCCGGCCCATTCCTTCATCCGTCTCTCTCGTCACCAACCAAGTATAAACTAACAGACGAGGGAAAGGAGACGGAAACAAGGAATGGACAGAAGGGATGGAGCCATCTTCATCTTATACGAATTACCTGTCATTAGATGGCTCCCGCTCGCTCCCTTCTCTCCATGTAATCAGTTGAGACCTCACACTTTTCGGCCTTTTGCACCCACATCCAGCCGCTCATTTTCCTCGCTCCAAGCACCTTGAGGCCTCACCTTTTGCTCCGTGCACCTTCCCAGCGCTGAGGATAAGAAAGCCCTAGCCTTCCGCAGGCTGCAGGCCTGGCATTGCCTTGCACGCAGCTTGGCTGGGACGCTTGAAGGAAACTCGACTTACATTTCTGTCCTGAGCCAGGTTCAGATCAAGATCGAAGAGTTTCTGAAATCCTACACTCGAGGCTGGCCTTTTGCAGGATTGCACACAGGCTGCAGAAGAAGATGCCGTTTCATTCGAGAGCTGAGTCTAAAGAGATGCCGCTGCTTCCTCGTCAGGATGAGTTAGTTTGCAATTTAGCCAGGCCAGAACCTCGTGAAGATCAATGCTAAAGGCAAGAGGCCTGGTCAAGCCTCCAGCCTTCACATCTTGCTATCCTAGAGCAGGGTTTGGGCACACTGACTTCGGCAGGTATGCCCGGCGGGTCTATGTTGACACTGCGAAGCGGGTGCTAGGCTTAGAAAGGATTTCTCCGCTTTTTCTCTCCCTCGCCCTCTCCTTCTCCGTCTCTCTCTCTCTCTCTTGATGGGTTTCTTGGTCTGCGCTTGTCGGGAATGCCTGCTGACCATCCAACAAGAAGATGTCCCATCGAAAAAAAACAGGCCCATGTGTTTTGAATTCTCTCGGCGGGCTCAGGCTCTTGTGATTCAAGGTGCCAATGGACCCAAATTCTTCCCGTCACCTGGCTCAATTGCATAGCATGTTGCAGCCTAAAGCTCAACACAGCAGGTTCGCCGCAATGAAGGAGGTTGACCTGGAAACGCGGACTACCAAGGCCTTTGCTGCCAGCAAGTCCAAACATCTTCAAGTCAACGTGTGTGTGTGGCAAAATAAGGGGACCCCCAAACCAACATGGGTGGTTGTCCTCTCCTTGCAGACAACCTCAAGAAGGCTAAAACTGAAAATCTTCGAAGTCACATTTCCTGTCAACCCAGTTTCTTTTGGGGGTCTACCGGCACGCGTTGTAGGAAGGCCGTGTGGAGACGTTGGTGATTTGCGCCATCGAAAAGGACGGCCGCATCGTAAAGGCCGGGACTTGGCGATTGATCAGCTTGAGCGCCGTTTCAATTTGTCCAAAGTGAGTTTAGGCACTGGGGTCAACACTCTCAGGCAGTGAGGTCCGTATAAGTTCAAGGGGTCATAGCGAGGTCCGTATAATTAAGGGCCTTGACAGAGAGCACAAGTTTGGGAAGCCAGGAGCTGACCTTGGCGTTCCCGGATCAAGCAAAGGCAGGATGGTAAGTCAAGCAGCGGCCGGGCATTTCTTAACGAGTTTGGTCAAACATAGACGGGTTTCACTGGTTTCAGTTGTGCCTTAAACATGTCAATGTACCAGTGCCATCCATTTTTTCAGAGGGACGGCCTAAAGTGGCCTAAAGATGTGGCATGCGATTGCGAGGCAAGCACCTTTGTCAACTGCGCTCGCTCCCTAGACACCGCATCCGAGCACTTGAGACCTTTTCGGGATTGATGCTCCAAGGTGACTCTCTTTTCACTGGCGCTTCGAAAGAGCCAGGATTAAAGCGTTTGATTGTCGAGACATACGCACACCATAGTTGAAGTAGGTCTTGAGTCAACGCCAGACGACTTAAGATCAAGTTTCACCTGCAGCAATCAAAGACTGCATCAAGGCTCCAAGCATTTGAGCCAAGTTAACGAACGGCTTCTCAGCCAATCAAAAACAAATTGGGAATCCCGTGTCCGTGCAGCAGACGCAGTCTTGACAGCCACAGCCCGGCGTGGGGAGCCTGCTCGTGCCGTGCGACCCTCGCAGCTATCTCAGCAGCAGCCATGCGATCTTGAGTACAAGTGAGCAACCAGTTCAAACACACCCCAACACGGTTGCGTTGACATAAGCTCATTGTGCTCATTGTGCTCATTGCAGACGAAACACAGGAAGGGAGAGGAATGTTGGGGCCTTTTCCCTATGATGTTGTGTTCGCCGAAGCCAGAGCGCCAAGACACATTGTTTTCACAGGGTTCCAGTGACCGGCAGGACGTTTTCTCTTCTTGTTTCTCAGCAGAGATCATGTGTATCATCTAACCTCAGTTTCCCAGCACTGGGCATGGACCCAACGCTTGCTGCACGCTTTGCCCGGCAGAAGGACGCTGTAGCCACATTCAAGCGCGACCAAAGACAACTGTTCAGTGCTCCAGGAAAAGCTGGAAAGGGGTGAGGATGTGGCAGAAATCGGCTCCAAAGCTGATCAGAAGAAGCAGCTGGATCCCGTCCTTGCTCAACGATGGGTCATCCTGGCTCCATGACCCGAGATCGTTGAATGCAAGTTGGGTTTGTCTCAAAATTGATGGACTCAACAAATCGGTGGTTCTCTTCGGAGCCCAAGAAGGGATACTGGCAAGTACCACCCTTGTTGGCGCAAGGTTTTCCGCCACACGCCAGGAAAAGCTTCAGGCAGGCAAGTGCCTAGAAACCGTCGTGAACGACGAAATCGGCTCCATTGCAGAAGCTTGCCGCAAAAAGTTAGTGTGGCCCATCCAGAGTTGCCTCGCTCTCTTGCCTCTTGCCAAAGTATAGAATCTTGCTTGGCTCTTTAGCGTCTGAGTTGCTAGCCAAGGACAAGACCGTGAAGCTGGATCCCGTGCTGGCCAAGCGATGGTCCAAGCAGCAGGCCCGCCAGCCCGCCACATTAAGAAAGGCGGGACTGCAACTTGTGCCAGGAAAGGTATGAAACTGGTGTTTGCGATATTCCTGATGTCGTCTCTGTGGCAGACAAGTCCACGCACCAGAGCAGCAATAAGGCTTTTCGTGAAGCATCGCATGGATGTAGGTGTGTGTGTGTGTGTGTGTGTGTTTTTGTTTTCTTGAAGGTGCCCTTTCAAGGGAAACCAAAAACAACACCATTTTGAGGGTCCATTTGCTTTGACACCTACACTACCCATTTCGACCCCGTCTCTTACATCGCACCTGGACTGCCTGTATATACCGAGGAAGCTGGATCCCGTCTTGGCTGAGCGCTGGGCTGCTGCGCACGAGCGAATGCTTACAGGCCACTTTTGTTTGGGGGAGGTTAGGGAATCCCCAGAGTGATAAAGTGGGGCTGGGGATCATCCACCTTGGCAGATTTCGGGTGATTTTCCACAACTATGCGGTATGACCTCTATTCCCGACCTTTCAATACGTTGGGATCCATGGTGCACACAGCTTCCCCGAGCAAAGATTAATCCAACGTTTGGGAAGGTAGGTTCCATGGCATTCGTAAGGGAAGGTGTCCATATTGCAGCTTTCCCAGTCCACCTACAAAGCTTTGCTTCCACTCACCCTGATGCTTGAGGCAACAGTGACGTACCTGAAGTGGGGTCCAGAGCAGACTTTTCCAGGACCGTGAAGAGCGGACGGAGTTTGACTGACAGAACTCCTTTGTTTCTCATCGCAGGAAAGACACCGAGTTCTCCAAGACCTTTGCCAAGGTTCAAAAGCAGGCGAAGCAAGGTGGGCAAACGCGGAACGACAGCTTGGAGCCAAAGTGAGTGCGTCAAAACCCCACATTGATGGTTTTCCTTTCGGGGTCCCTTCAACCAACCCGCAAAGGTACCCTCAAGGAAGTCATACACACACAGACACACACCAATATGTATTGGGGTCCTCAGATTTCGCAAGAAAATCCAGGCGACTCTAATTTACCCATGCCCAGCGAGGGAAATTAACTTGCACATTTTGACACCGGCACAGGCACCAGCGAGGCTGAAAGATGTCACTTGCAGCTGTCGGTGGCTGCCTCGCAGCGAGTGTCCGGAAACAAAACCGGCTTCTCCTTTTTTTGACGCTGTAGGCGGGGCAGAAGACGGAGCACACGGTGCCCTGGGAATCCAGCGGGCAAAGCGGCAGGCTCCAGTGGAGCGCGGCTGCTCATCAGAATTATCCTTCCTTCCGCAAACGTAGGGGCATTCGTGCGCGTTCCCTGTCTGGGATGCCAAAGCGCCATGCTCAGGTTGCCCTTTCGGATCTCACCATCGACCTGGAGGTCTGTGCCGTGGTCCGTCCGCCAAGCGCAGCGGAGGGCGAGGTGTCCGAAGTGATCCTGCAGAGGCGCCCTGCATGAGGCGAACTGGGTTGGTGTCTCCGGTGCCCTGGTTGCAGGCATGCTCGCGGAGGCACCTTTGTTGGCAGCCTCGACGCGGCATCCGACAGGACGGTGTGTGAAAATGGCAACATGGATTTGGGAACACTAGCCCAGCTTGCGTGACATGCAGGAGGCTTGCTGTCCAAGGCCTGACTAAGCTTGGGTGTCGAATTTTTGAGCACGTTTTTGGATGATCGCCTGCTAGGCGACAAGAAAATGAGAAAAGAAGCTCCGGGCCTAATCCGCGAGAACGGAAAGCAAGGGTGCACTGTGCAAGTCCAAGCGGATCAGTGCTAAGGTGGTGTCAGTAATTTTCAAATTCAGCAACTCCTTCAGCTGGTTTACGCGCTGCCGGCATGAATTGCATGCCAATTCCCAGCATTGACCCTGAAGAACATCCTTGGGGCAACTATCAACCATGGCAGGGGCAAGGAAGTAGAGTTGGTTCGTGCCTCAGGGTAATCCAAGAGGGACACCCGAAAATTGGCCTGTCGAGGTTCTTTTGAAAGACTGACCATCCTTGCAGCGGCATAATGTATGATCGCTCTTGCCTGAGCTTGAGCTGGTCCTTGCGACGCTTGCTGCAAGCTCCGGATGCCGCCTCTGCATGCTTAGAACAGTGGTGGAACAATGGCCGCTTGGTGCAAGCTGCAACATCCCAACAAGTTTCACGTGCAGATGCAAAGAGGCTTTGCCTGCTCAACCGAGCACCGCAAAGACCTGCCAGAAAAGACAACGGCCCCTTCTTTTGATTGCTCCTTGCTGTTTGCATTCTTGACTGACCCACAAATGGTCAAATAAGTTTGAGCGCTTAGTGCCTGGCCATGCTCCATGAGTGCATTCACCTGGAAACTCTGAGTCGACTTTGTGGATGTATGAAGGTCCACAAGCAGTTTCTTCAACTCTTCGGACTGACATGGGCTACGCAGATTAATGGGGGGTGTCTTATTTCGAGGGGATTTGAAAGGGAAGCAAAAGGAAACCCACCAATTTTGAGGGTCCCCTACTTTAAGGCAAATCCAAATCTTGGGAAACAGCTAGGTTTGAGAGCTGATTCGAGAGCTGCGCCATGATTGTGGGCTTATCTACTTCCATCACGCTGGACTCGGCATAGATTCGATGTCCATGGACACATGTCGACTGTGGCATCTTTACTTTGCGGCGCTGCTTGAGTTGACTGCAAGCTTCCGAGCCTGTCCACCGCCAAATATGGGGTGCGTGGCAGATGTTCGCGGGGAGGCATCCTGGAGTTTGTGGGCAGAGGTAGACAAGGCTCTGTCCCAGCGAACCTATGAGCTTTTGACCCTCTACGAGTGGATACCAAAGGAGGCAGGAGTCGAAAAGCCGAGAAAGAGGGCAAACGGATTGGTGTGCCTTTGCCTTTGTGTGGTTTGATGAGCCTTCTCACTTCGCTCGCGAGGACACGACATCACGTGCCACTGCGCTGAGAGGTCTTCAAGCGATGGAGGCCGCGAAGCAACTCCTTTGTGCCAGCACTTTTGCCCGGTGTGATGTGGAGGGAGTGGCCTATGCCAGTGCTCTGCTCAATGCCTCGCCTGCAAAGACTGATGCTGCTGAACTGGCCATCCAGACTTGTGGCTTCCCAGAGAGGGGCAGCAAATGGTTGGGCCGATGCAGCTATGCGGTCTGGGACTGGGCGGATGCAGAGTATTTGATGTCAGCGCAAGGCTTTATGCATTCAGGGCAGGCGCAGCTCGCTGAAGAAGCAGATCGACTGAATTCGAAGAAAACTGATGCAGATGCTGGATACTCTGCGGCAGTGTATCCAGCTTTGTTCAGTCCTGAAGAGATTTGCGCATTGAGTATGACTCCACTGCCCAGCCAGTACGCTGGTTTTGGCTTGCAGCCGGTCTTTAGTGGCGAGGCTTTCCAAGACGTTTCTTGGGTTGACATCTCAAACCTGCGCACCCGGCACTTGAGTGCCATCTCCCTGTTGGAGACGCTGGAAAATGGGGCCGCCTTCCAGGATAGGCACCCTCAGGGTCTTTCGCGGATTGCTGTCAACCTTGGAGGCGGGAGATGCATAAATTAACTGGAGATCAAAGAGTCATCCACAGTCGAAACCTGGGTAAGTCAAGGTAGGGGACAGAACCATGAATAGGTGCGGATATCCGCCCTATTGTTCCTTCTGTGTTTCGGCAGATTTCTAGGAATTGACTGCGACTCATACATAATTATATTATTATCGTATTTGTGGGATCCGATAATCCCTTGGTTCTCAGGTGGAGATGGTGCTTGCCGAGTCGGGCACGGCCTAGATCCGGTGAATTGCTTTTTCCCGCAAGGCTTCGGTGGTGTGGTCTTTGAGGCGAACAAGAGTCTGGAATCTGAACTTCAGATATCAATTGGAAAGCACTTCCCCCAAGTTCAGGTGGGAGGTTGTCAAAAAGATGGGTTTCTTTTTGAACCTTGCCACCGTTTGGCCACCTTTGACAGGGGATACCAAAAAGGGCCCCTAGTTTTGTCATTTTTGACAGGTTGTAATGGAGGCGGCAGCCGAAGATACGATCTCTCAGCGTTTGGAGCAGGCTCTGGCCAAGCGCCCTGGGCGTTTGGTGCAGCGGGACGAGATCGACATCATCAAGGTAGGGGGTTGATAAAAGATGGCCTCTTTTGGGCCCCCTGTGCCGCCTTGTGCCGCCTTGTGCCGCCTTTTGAAGTTTTTAAAGGGATACCAAAAGCAGGCCTCTAGTTTTGTCAACCTCCCAGGTGGATGTCGATGGCCCAGATTGCCACTTAGTTCGGGGACTTGTCCGGGCTGGTTGGCAACCGAAGGTGTGGCACGTCGAGGTCAACCCACTCTTCCCACCGGGGATTTCAGTGTGGCCTACTGGAACTAGCCTGGACTCCGAAACTACCGTGACCATAGAGGGTCTAAGCTCAGCGTTTTCGAGGCGAGTCAACGACAAGCAGGCCTTGGTGGGCTGCTCTCTGCAAGCACTGCTTGATGTCGCTGGCCCGGACTACGTATTGACACACATGGAGTTTGAAAACGCAGTGCTCGTGCGGCGGGATATTTCTGAAGGGCTGGAGCCGTGGTTGTCATCTCGCAGCCCAGTCCGAGCCTCACGTGAGCGGAGAAGTTTGTCTCACCTGCCAGCTATCAGGTTCAGAAGTGGCGAGATGGCTACTTCTGCCACCCGTCAGCCCGGCAAGTAGCTTTTTTCGTCAGCTTGGGTTTCCAACTTTTGTCGGCGTGACAGGATTGCCCGCGTGCGACTGCCACATGATAACGATCAGGACGGATTGACTTGGCCAGCCGAATGTGGCAGAGCGCTGCATCCTTTTACTAGGACTCCTTGTTCCTGCACTATGACTTCCGCCGATGGGGAGCTGGGCACATAGACATGAAAGGGGAACTGGTTCACAATGAAGACATCACCGCAACAACTAAGGATCCGAGACTTGATCCAGGAGAGCTTCACAAGTTGGTGAAGGCCTTCACTATTTGCATGTCGTTGCTTTCTCGTGGCATGTTTGCAATCACTTGCATCTGCCGGCAAGTATGGTCAGGAGTTCCTGGCAGGATTTGTGCAGGAGGACACTTATAGCGGGGTGCCTAGGTTGATTGACCATTTGCGGACCTTATTTGAGAGCTTTTGGCGTAGTCTAGTTTGGGATATGGATCTAATCAACTTCCAACGCTTCCAAGGCCTCACAGAACCGCCGCGTCCGACGTCCGCACCTTGGAATCGAGCCAGTTGGGTGAATCCCCACGGTCACCGACACACCTTCTCAACAGACACACACACACACACAGGCTTTTGGATTTCTTCATCCTTTGCTTAGTGCTTCTTGTTGTTGGTTGGCATGGTGATTCCTCAACCATCAGGGCGGGGTCACAACGAATCAGGCTGTTGGACGTACCAACCAAGACGCTCAAGAATCAAGCAGTGGATGAGGAGGGTTATGGACCTGGATGTTGCACTTGTCATTTGCAAGACGCTCCCCACCACCTGCAAATTCTGCGCGACTCAGATTGCATTTCCACATGGCCACAGTCAATTATCGTCGACCGCATAGGACATAAACTGCGAAGCAACATGGAAGGGCCACGTGTTTCAGTGGTCTCTGGCCTGCTTGAGTTGCTGCACCTTGCGTGTATTTTTTCATCGCACTCTGCCAGGTGGCCGATCGTTTTGCGGAACATCGAACGCACGGTTCCCAGCACTGCCAATCAGCTGGAAGGGCAGGAACCGGCCCTAAATGGAAGCCCAAATGAATTGATTTAAACAAACGGAGAGAGTGGGTATGCAAGAGAATAATTTGGCCATTCATTTCTCTCATTCTTGTTCCACATCCTAAGGCAATGAGAGTGAATGATAAGATGATAATGGCTTGCCTGGAGCAGCTTGGAGAGTAAATCCCATGACAGCTTCATTCATAGTCCATTTTTCATATGCCTTATCTCCCATTATCTATCATCCCAGAACCTCTACAATCTATAAATTGATTGGGAGATAAGGAAACAGATAGGTGAGCGAAGGGAACCAGGAACAGATCTATCAAGATCACGAAAGAGATATGAAGAAGACATACTATTACACACATGGTAGGATAAAGACGTGGAATGATGAAATAATATAGACATTTAATAATTAGATGAACCAAGCTTATGAATGAATAAAGACACCAAAACAAAGCAACCTTACATGATGGTGAATATGTATAGCTATCATTTCCCTTGATCATATCACCACTTGTTTTGCCTTAAAGCAACCCAAGAAGGGTCCACTATTTTGAGACCCCCCATATTTCACTGCCTAGTAGTTTTAAGCAGCACCTTTGGCCCCATCGTGGCTGAGTTTCCTCTTGGGGGGATGTTTCAGGCAGAAATGTGATGTAGGGAGCCCTGAGAGGGGTGCAGAGGCATCAGAGGGGCTGTCGAGGTCTTCTGTCCGCCTGGGCAACGGGGTCCGGGGACGTGGAGGCATCGGCTTTGTGAGTGGAAGTGCGCTGGCAATCAAAGTTCCATTCTTCGACTACCCAGGGGTTCTCCTGGGTTTAAGTCTACCTTTTGGCTTGCAACTGCGTCCATCAGGCTGTCCTGATGGCTTTGGTCGAGGACTTTGCCAACCAGCTGAACATTGATCGCGCGCGATGGACTCTGATCATCTCTGATCCAAGCAGCTTGTACCTTGCAACGACTCTGTGTCAAGGTGGCCCATCTTCAAATCTGTGGATCCAAGCAGCTTGTACCTTGCAACGACTCTGTGTCAAGGTGGCCCATCTTCAAATCTGTGGCCTCTGGGGAGTAGCAGCCACAGAGAGTTTTCTTTTTGGAACATGAAGAAAGCACCGCAGTCACCCCCTTGAGGTGTCCAGTTGGAGGGCTGGCGGTCGGGCACCCATCACTTGTGAATGCTGCAAGAGGGCTGGACAAGCATGACGACGATTTTGAGTGAACCACGGGGCATCTCCACTATGGCATTGCTTTTCCGAGCCGAGATTGGCATCGCAATGCGCTGGCGGTGCCTGTCCCCCTTCTGGGAGGACCACTCTTAGATTCAATCCGAGCCAATTCTTCGGATGGCTCGGGGTTCAATTCGGAGTCAAATGGATACACAGGATACACTGCTGAGCAGGACAACCCCGTTTTCCCAGCTACAGCAAACCTCTTTGCTGCCATGCGCCGGGGTGCCTTTTGGCGGTGTCGAATGGGACAGCGTCACAGAGGGGGCCCTCATGATTGGGTTCCTGCTGGCGTTGCGTGCCTTGCAATCTTGGGGGGTACTTAAAGTTTCCTACGGTTCCTTTCAAAGCGTCTTGGGGGTTCCTAACTTGGGCATCAAAACGAGATCCGTGGTCGTGGTTGAGGCCGGCAGCTGCCGTTGATTCTGCGGAACAAGTCCCATGGCCATCAGTTGGCAGCCTAATGCACTGCGACGTGACAAAGCCAGCAAACCCAAAGGACCTGGTTGCGTGCTGCTTCTCTTTCACAATCCACGAAAGGTTCCTAGTTTGGACACATAGCCACATTAGGACTCAAAAGACGTTGACGCCCTAATCCACCTCATCAAAAGATGCGCCAAACGGGTTCCCATTTTGGACGGGGTTTCCTCATCTATGATTTTGGCTTTGGCCGAGGTCGAGATTTGCGGCTCCGCTGGGCTGTGAGCAGGGTGCCTCAATCCTGCGGGGAAGGTATACCCAGCATGTGAGCAAGACTCAAACCAGGATAAATGAAGGTTCGTAAAGGACAGTCCCAACCGCACATAGGTGCAGCCACAATTGTTGATTGTTTTGGCAAGACCACTTTAATACAAGGTGCTGATTGTGACTCATGTGAGAGAAGCACCACCTGGCTATGACATTCAGAAAATACCGTGGATGCAAACCCCCATTGGATCATGTGCACCAAAGGACCCCCGACGAGAAATCATGCACCCACATATGTCCAAATTCATCCCAATCTCCATCGCGTGTTAGGCACGTGCTGATGCGGTTCATTCAGGCGCTCGAGAGTGCGCAAGAGGTTCTGGCAGATAAACAATGCAACAGTTTGTACTTTTTCATTTGAACTGAGTACAGCACAAAAGATTAAGCCAGCCAGAAAGAGAGAGCTGCCCCAAATTGGCCCCATTACTCTAAAACCCTTGAAATGTGCATTGCTGCATGTCTGTTCCCTTTGTGTTTGGACCCAGGCGGGCCTGCGGCGGGATCTCGGGGCCGTGCTGGGCTCCCGGTGGCCCATCTTCGAGCTGCCGAAGCCCCAGACTTCAAATTTCGCGTGAGCATCGACGAACCAAAAGCATCTCATGAGGCTCATGGATTGACGGATTGACGGATTGACGGGCTGCATTTTAATTACCAAAAGCGTCCACAAGCGTCCACCAAAAGAATCACACCCGAATCCTGGGGCGGCTTCCGCTTTCTGGTGGGCGGCCCTCTTTTGGGTGTTTTTCAGGGTGGCTAAGAGGAAACTTGGAGCGTTTTGTAGGGATCCCCCCTACTTTTTGGAAGCACCCAGAAAGCTGTTGCTTTGTTGTTTCTTTTATTTCCCTGAACACAGGTTACCTGACTCGAGATGAACACAGGGAAAGGGAATTGACTTTTGAGATGACCATTGCAAGGATTTCTGCTGACTTGTTGCTGGTGAGTGTTTGCTGACCAAACAGAGGAGTCCTTTCAAGACACATTCGACGCCTCATTAGGGCCCTTGGATTCGGAGGCTGAGCTCCATGCACACCCAGAGCGAGAAGTGGCGCAGACCCCAGATCCTAGAGACCGCGTGAAGTCGCTTTGTTGCGAGTCTGTGCAGGCCGCGCGACTATCCGTGAATCGCAAGAGGCATCTTGAGTGCTGCAGCAACCGTTGGTTTGCCGTGCGTGTGCTCCTCTCCTTCGGCTTGCACACTGCAACGATCGATGCCTGCCCACCTGCAACAACATGCTGACCACTGCTTCACCACGGAGGGGTTCTTGCCGATCGGGATCGAAGACGAGTCATGGCTCGGCGGCTGACTGAAGGTGCTGGCAAGCTCTCTGCTGTTTGCGAGGGGTGGAGCGGCTTGTGACCTGTAGATATCAAGATAAACTACTTGGGGATGAGCGTTGGAAAATTGCCTAGCTTGCCAATTTGCGTTGGCCAAATGCTCTGTCACGATCATCAGAACTGCAGCCACACATCTCAAGCGAGTCTGAGTTCAGGCCTTCCGGCATCAAAGCTTGATGTCGTCCTTCCTTATTGCAGTCGCGCTCACACTTTGCATCGGACATGCAGACCGCCCGAGCGAGCTCTCCATTCTGGTGAGCGAGCTCACGGAAGCAGAGGGCACGTGTGATGAGCAGGCCATCCTACAGAGCATTGAAGACCAGATGGGCGTGGAGCGGAGGCAGTTGTGTGACACCAGGTTTTAGGTTTTCAAAAACAAACCAATCCAGCAAGGTGTGCATCTTGGGCACCCTTTTCAGCTTGACGGGACGCCAACGGTTGAACACCCATCGGCATCATCGGCCCTCCCCATTTCGAGATTCGGAGGCAGTGGATCGAGAGTCAGAGCCCTGGCTTCGAGATCTCGCTGCACCCGCTGTTTAAGGTGCTGCCCCGCACGCCCAACGGCAACCTCAGGCTCGCGAATCGAAACTCGGGTCTGGGGACGCGGATATCCGTTTTCATTCCTTGCATGACTCGGTTTATGACTCGGTTGGATCCCTTCAGTACTTGGGTATGATTTTCACTCAGATTGTTTTAAAAGGGACCTGGACTAGACAAAGCAAGGAACGTCCCAGCTGGAAGTAGGTGCGGATATCCGCACTTCTCATTCTTCACGTTGGTTTTGCGACTCGTAGACTCCTCAGGCCGGACGTGGCCAAGTACGCGCTGCACCGAGTCTTTGTGGATGCCAGAGGTTGGTTCGTCAAGGGCCTGGAGGAGTTCAACATGCGGAACGCGTCCTCGCTGCCGTCGCTGGTGGGTCTTTTGACCGGCTTTAGTACGCGTTTAGTCCGTGTTTCTTTTTTCCTTTCGCGCGGCAAGCTCTTGCATTTTCAAGACGAAGTGATTGAAGTCAGGGTTGCCCACCAACTATCTTGGCTAAACATGTTTAAATAGGGGTTGAGGGGTTGGCCCAACCCTGGTTCAAGTTTCCCGGCATTGCCAGCGATTTGTGGGGCGTGAAATTATACTGGCCTCAGTCACGATCGCAATGGAGGGTTTTTTACGGAATGCGACCAACTAGCCGCAGCGTCCAGCTACGGGACACTTGGATTCCATTGAACGCCCTCAAGTTGCTGTTTAGTGTGTTCTGCGATGTTTTGGCAGCTCCCGCGCTTGGCGCTTCAAACGCTTCCTTTTTGTGAGAAGCGATCCTCCTCTTGTATCCAAACGGGATTTCACAATTGTTTAACAAGAGTCAATCGAATTTTGGCGCCTGTGGGTTCCTCCCCTAGCCCCTTAGAAGTGTCTAAGAAACTACTTCAAGCCTCAAACACACACACACACACAAAGCACGCTACTCAAAACCTTGAAGCCCAGAAGAAATGCTTCTCAAAGCCTCAAATCTCACCAAAAGCAGTCCCAGCCCAAATCCCAACTCGTGGCTGGCTTGAGAGGTGTTCCAACATTGGCCAGGCGTGCTGCAGGGCCAAGTGCCTTCGGCGGTGCTGGAGGCCTTCGGGCCGTGCGTGGACCAGGAGGTGGCGGTGCGGCCCTTGGCGCTGCTTGCGGCTGCCCTGGACGAGCTCGTGCACCGGGAGGCAGGGAGTGGCACGCAAGGCAGTGGGACGGCCTTTGTGTGGGGACCCCAACATCCGCGGATAGTTCGGAGAATTATGTTTGGAGGGAAGGCTTTTAGGTTGTCTTACCAGTGCGGGACATGTGTCTCTTTTGGGGCATCCTTTTTGGTTTTTTGGGAAGCAAAAGGGACACCGAGCGTTTTAGGGGTCCTTTCGTTTAAGACACTCTCAAAGCCGGGAGGTGCTGCAGCGGACCACCAACGTCTTCAAATCCAAGAGGCCCGGGCTTGTGGGACTCTAACCCTGGCAATCCACGTGCAGGACAAGAGACTTCTAAAACATGGGCTGAAGCCCTTTTTGGATGGTTTTCAAGGTTGCTGAAAGGAAGCCAACCAAACACGATGACGGGTTTTGGTCGCAACATGGCTGGTTTCAATGGAATTTGAAGGTTTTGTCGCAAAATTGATTAAACCCTGACAGGAAGCCGACTTTGAAGGGGGTGCCCCACTCACTTTAAAGGGGGTCGTTCACTTTTTGGGAAGTTTTTTTGTTTTTTGTCACTCTGCCACGCTTGATTTTCCCAGGGTCAACATTGCCTTCAGCCATGGCTACCCGAGAGTTGCGAGGGACAGTCGAATGAGTCCCAGTCTGCACCAAAAGGACAATCCCCCCCATTTGGGTGTCTCTCTATTTTGATACATACCCAAATATCCGGTCAGTTTCCTACTTATCCCTGAGTACTCTTTGAAAGCGGCCAGCTGGCTGCGCCTTTGTCTTGCCAAAAGGAAATCGTTTTCCTTCCCAAAAGCCCACCAAGAGGGTTGTCTTGGTTGACATCCCTTCGGCTCAAAAGAAATGCAGACCAAGGCAGACCTCTAAAGCTAATTCACATCGGAATCCCACAATGATGGCTTTTAGGGTATGTTCATATTCAATGTAACCAGTGATTTTCAAATGGCCCCTTAACTTCCGAGCAACTGAGAGGTTGCCCGTCTTCGGCAACGTGGACATTAAGCAAATGGAGGAAGTGCTAGAGCAGGCTGGAAACAGTACATGTTTTTTCCTTTTTTTTTTTTTTTCCGAGATAGGGGCCCGCTTTTGGATGTTAAGGGGAAGCCCGATTTGTAGGGGCTACTGTATTCTGAAACATGTGGCATCTGGAATCAGGGTGCCCTCCGCTGCCCTATCGTGTGAACATATCAGAAGGTTGGTCTTGTTTTCCGTTTCAACCCGTCCAACGGCTCAAGCGGTAGCCGCCAAACTCCGATCCGTTACCCTTTGACGCCAGAGCAGCATGTAATGCCAAGCCCCGCGGGATCTGGCTGTATTCAATCTTTAAGGCTTGCACAGCTGCTTGGGATGGGTCGCACCATTTGAATGAGCAGCGAGTTTTTGTCAACAGGAAAAGGAAAAGTCAACAGACAAAGAAAAAGCACTGGCGGTTGCATGATGTCCGGGCTGTGTCGCAGACAGTTTGGTCCCTCAAGTTCACATTTCGATTTCCAAGCAGACAAAGCCGTTCACATCCTGTCACAGCAATACTACAAACACATCCAACAATGGGTCAAGGCTCGGTATTGAGCTCGCTACGCAAGCTGCCAATGGTCTTTGTACAGGAGAAGCTTACACACACACACACACCAATGCCAATGACAACATTCAAGGCATTGAAACACGCAGGCCAACACCACAACATTGATGCAAACGCAACGATAAAGCAATCATGAGAGTGATTCGCAGCAAGCCATTTGAGACCCATGGAGATGTGAAATGCAACATCCGCAGAAAGGGCTTCCGATGCAGCTTGGAGCTGGGAAACCAAATGCACCAGCGACCAAAGCCAGGGAGGGGGTAGAGGTGCGCATAATTAAACTTGCAAAAACAACACAGACTTTTGGCAAAAGTTCACAAACAAGAACCACAAACGAGTTTTAAGCAAGTGCAGTTCCTGCATTCGAAATGCCTTCAACTAAGGTGTCAATCAATGCTGGGATACTTTTGAGTCGTGGGGGTGCCCATGGGGAATCCGAGGAAAACTGTCAGAACTCGATCACATTTTGCCTGCTTCATGCGCGTGTTCGAATTTCTACTGCGAAATGCGCTGCATTGCCTCGCGCCAACAAAGGTGGAAGTGCACACCCCTTTGGAAGACTTTTGAAAGTTGGTGGGAGGCTTGCCTGGGCAAAATACAGACTCTCCGACCTCGACGATACAGGGGATATTGAGAACCCCTCCGGGACCCAGGCCAAATGATTTTTGTTGCACCCTGGAGGAAAGAGCCAATTCCAGACTGAAAACGGCTCCCACCTACACGCTTGACTAGCGAGACCCAATTTACCTACGACGTATCCTCGGGCAGCGAATATTTAGCTTTCCTCCCACCAACATCGCACCTGTGTGAGGGCACCTGGAAGATCAAGTTTCTCTTGAAGGGACCCCTGTCGGAGGAAGGGAGCCGGCTTCCAAAGTATGTTGCATCTCAGGCATTTGCTCCCAGACTCCCCTGGAGCCCGAAAGCGGCAAGGCCCCAACCCAGCACGGCTGCATAATGAACAGCACACAAGTCGGAAATGCATGGCCATGTCAGTTCAGCTTCCTGAGTTGCGGATGTTGATGATGCAATACCAATAGGGATCCTCGATCAAACTACTGAGAACAACTGAAACTATCAAAGCGCAGCATGATTCAGAAAACTAGAAGCCAAGGATGCGCGGGATAGAGAATACACCAAAATCACAGAACACGTCATGCATTGACACACACACACACACTCACACACATACGCAATGCAGCAACGAACAAGACAATTGCAGAAACCACACATTGGTACAATTTGTTTTAAGCAGGAGCCTGTTGGGTGACCTCAACCGAAACACCAAAAAGGTGGGTGATTGAGACGACTGAGTGGCACTCCAGAAGGCCTACATTCCTGAATCTGAGGGCATGTCCATTTGCATCTGTCGCGGTCTCAAAGCATGGAACATGGAACTTCCTTTGGCTTTCTTTCAAAACATTGTCGAGTACAGGTCGGAGCCCAACAACACATCACAGGGAGTCTGACACCCATTCTGAGAACCTCCCTTTTACCCTCTTGACAAGCAGCACGCCGGAAAATCAGTGTGTTTGTGCGGACTTCAGTCAATTGGCGCAATGTTTGCCTCAGCGTTTGGCTCCACATGAACTTTTGGGCCACCAAAGGGAGTTCCTTGTGTAGCTAAACTGGCCGCCATTTTGAATGGTTGGAATGCCCTCAAACAGAAACAGGGCTCCATTTTATGACTATCCCAAGGCAGGCTTACCCAGAGGTGGTTTCTTGCCCCAAAAGGAGAACCCCCAGATTTGACCTGGGTTGTGAAAAGATGGAACCTGCCCTCAAAAGTGCCCCAAACAGAACACCCGAATGCCATAGAGAGATCTCGAGTCCCGCTCACCGTTACCAACTGTCGGGAAAGTCCAATCCCTTACCAAAAGGCGAGTGCTTGGGGAGCGGCTGGTAGAGATCTCTCATTCGGCCAGTTTGCATTCGCTGCCGTGTGTTGAAGGGAAATGTGGCCTCGACTGGCTGAGTTGCCACCGACAAATGGGGTGCTCGCTCAACTCCCATGTTGAACGGACGCCGATTGATTTCGGGCGGGGCCCATTTCAACTTTGAGGTTCTAAGTTGCGCTCAAGTTGCTTCGGATGCGATGTGCGTAGGGTTTCCTCATTGTGGACTTGCCGCGCCCGAAAGCCACCTGCGAGGTCATGCTGGGTTACATCTTGGATGCTGGGGCAATTCCTGCTGCGGAGCAGGACAAGTACCTCTCGGGTGAGCTGGACGTCATGGACAAGTACCCCAACTGGCCTGAGCTGCGGCGATTCCTCCGCAGCATCCAGGAGACGGATGCTCTTTTTGTTTGTCCAGCAGGGGGGTTGCAACGCATTGATCACAGGGGCGCTTCCCCTTCTCATGCCCCTTTTATGGCGCTCGATTCTTCCGGTCTGGTCAACAAATGTCTCGGGCCAGGAGATCCTGGCTCCGGCCAAGTCGGGGGTCCTGAAGTTCGATGACTTGGCAGACATCATCAAGGAGCTGAATGAGCATTATGGGCATTGGCAGGACGGCGAATGCCAGATCTTGTCCAGGGAACTGCAGGAGCTGGAAGATCAATGTCCTGGACACGTGAGCTTGCACCGCTTCTACGCGGCCCAGTTGTACCATGACAAGTGGCAGTTCTCCGAGAGTGCGGAATACCTCCGCTCCCTGGGGGCACTGGAGGACGGCGGGTGTCAAAATTGGGGGACTCCCAAAAATTGTAGCTTAAGTCAACTCCAGAAAGGGGGTGGCCCCAAAAACATCGTGCCCAGGAGAATGATGTCCAGCGGCCGAGGTTGGTGTCCACGAACTACGTGCTGGGACCCAACAACTGCGTCTCGACGTCCCGATTCTACTCCCAGTGCTGCTTGAACAGGTCCGGCCTCTCAGAATTGCGTGTTCATTTCATTTAGCGGGGATTCGTGTCCACCAATTTCTTTGGAAGTGATTCCCTATTTCAATTCATACCAACTAGGGTAGGGTGGTTTCCGTTTGGTTCCTTTCAAACCCCTGACTAGGGTTTCCCTTGGGTAAGGCTCTGAATGAAAAGGCAAAACATGGGCTTCGGCTTTCCCGTCGGTTGTAAACAACCCAGCACACTACCTACGATTGAACAAAGGCTACGATTGAATAGGGACTCCAAAGCAGAAAGCAAACCCTATGTAACCAACAACTATCAAAACAATCGCAACCAAACAAACAAGCAAGCAAGCAATCAAGCACGCAAGCAAGCAAACCCACCAACCGACCAAACAAACAAACAAGCAAATACACAAACGCACACACACAAACACACGCGAGCAAACAAACAAGCAAACAAACAAACAAACAAACAAGCAAGCAAGCAAGCAAGCAAGCAAACAAACAAACAAGCAAACACACGCGAGCAAACAAACAAACAAACAAACAAACAAACAAACAAACAAACAAACAAACAAACAAACAAACAAACAAACAAACAAACAAACAAACAAACAAACAAACAAACAAACAAACAAACAAACAAACAAACAAACAAACAAACAAACAAACAAACAAACAAACAAACAAACAAACAAACAAACAAACAAACAAACAAACAAACAAACAAACAAACAAACAAACAAACAAACAAACAAACAAACAAACAAACAAACAAACAAACAAACAAACAAACAAACAAACAAACAAACAAACAAACAAACAAACAAACAAACAAACAAACAAACAAACAAACAGACAGACAGACACACAAACAAGCAAGCAAGCAAGCAAGCAAGCAAGCGAGCGAGCAAGCGAGCAAGCAAGCAAACAAACAAACAAACAACCAAACAACCAAACAAACCAAACAACCAAACAACCAAACAACCAAACAACCAAACAAAGCAAACAACCAAACAAACAAACACAACTACAAACACAAACACAAAGACAAACACAAACACAAACACAAGCACAAGCACAAGCACAAGCACAAACACAAGCACAAACACAAACACAAGCACAAGCACAAGCACAAACACAAACACAAGCACAAGCACAAACACAAACACAAACACAAACACAAAACACAAACACAAATACAAACACAAACAAAATCACAAACACAAACACAAGCACAAACACAATCACAACCACAAGCACAAGCACAAACACAAACACAAACACAAGCACAAGCACAAGCACAAGCACAAACACAAACACACAGAAATAACCAACAAATGACAAACAAACTAACAAACAAACAAACGAGCAAACGAGCAAGCAAGCAAGCAAGCAAGCAAGCAAGCAAGCAAACAAGCAAACAAGCAAACAAACAAACAAACAAACAAAAGCAAACAAACAAGCAATCAAGCAAACAAGCAAACAAGAACAATCAATCAAACAAGCAAGCAATCAAGCAAGCAAGCAAACAAACAAAAGAAACAATCAAGCAAGCAAGCAAGCAAGCAAGCAAGCAAGCAAGCAAGCAAGCAAGCATGCAAGCAAGCAAGCAAGCAAGCAAGCACGCAAACGAGCAAACGAGCAAGCGAGCAAAAAGAAACGCGAGCACGCGTAGGCGCGCGCACTCACACACCCACAAACACACACAAACACACACACACACACACACACTAACACTAACACTAACACTAACGCTAACACTAACACTAACACTAACACGAACACCAACACCAACACCAACACCAACACCAACACCAACACCAACACCAACACCAACACTAACACTAACACCAACACTAACACTAACACTAACACTAACACTAACACAACACTAACACTAACACTAACCAACAAATAACAAGCACTACAACACTACACTAACACTAAACACTAACACTAACACTAACTAACACTAACACTAAGACTAACACTAACACTAACACTAACACTAACACTAACACTAACACTAACACTAACACTAACACTAACACTAACACTAACACTAACACTAACACTAACACTAACACCAACACTAACACTACTAACACCAACACTAACACTAACACTAACACTAAGACTAAGACTAAGACTAAGACTAAGACTAAGACTAAGACTAACACTAACACTAACACTAACACTAACACTAACACTAATACTAACACTAACACAAACAAACAAACACACACAAACAGACAAGCACGCGCACAAACCCACAAGCACACAAACGCGCGCACACGCCCGCGCGCAAACACACACACACAGACACACACACACACACCCACACACACACACACACGCACACACAGGCTAAAACACACAACAAACACGCACACAAATGCAATCACTCACACAGGCAGTGCATCGTTTATTGTTTGTTAGGTTTAGTGTGCGTGCTCACGCTGGTGCGCTTTTCTGTGCAGGTGCGCGTGCGTGCGCGCGTGCGTGTACGTTGACGTGTGCGTGCGCGCGCGGGCGCGTGTGCGTGTTCTTGCGCGTGCTTGCGTTTGTGTGCGTCCGTGTGCGTGCACATGCGATTGCGTATGTCTACAAACAAACCTCAGACAAAGCACCGTACCATTGCCAAGCTGGGCGTCGCCTTTCCCTTTCCGCCCTCCAGGTGCGACCGACACCTGTCCAAACTGGAGCGGGCGCTCCAAGCCCCGGAGGCCTCCCCGAAGGCGCTGTGGGCCGCCGTCGCGGCGGTGCTGCCTCAGCCGGAGGCGGCCAAAGGGCGAGGTGTAGGTGGCACAGTTTAGTAGGTCGGCTGAAGAGGGTTTTATAACAAATTTCATTCATTCCCTGGTTTTATGGACTTTGGTCACTATTTTTAGTGGTAAACCGACAGTTCAGACTTTGCTGGTGGTCGGAAGGGAGCTGTTCCCGGACTGGGGGTATACAATTTCGAGCTAAGGAGCGTAAGGACATCGTAGCAGCCCCTGGTCTGGCACTCCAATCCGATTCCTATTGGTCATTTTGGCAGGTTCGGCTCCTACCTGGTTCTACGGGGTTTGCAAAAAGGGCTACATAAAACTTTGCAAAATGTCACCATGTACAACCACATGGAACCCAACAGGGGCTCCTCCATCACGAGATTCCACAAACAAACGGTGGTTTTTGGAATGTTAATCAACAATGGAGTAAACAGCCAGCCCCTGGTCTCCAGGATTGAACGAAATTTGCTTGCAACTTTCAAACGGGGAGCCAAGAAGAGGTTGTTCAACAAATTTATGTTTAACATGCTTACAAGGGGCGTGACCCAACACACAGTTTGAACAACCGCAAACCAGTTTGTTTGTGGAAACCAAAAGAATATTATTGAAAGAGTTTGGTTTATGGTGAAGAGCGGCCGGAGGCGGCGGAGGGTGCCTTGGAAACGCGTCTGGACCGCATCGCGAGCGCGGGGAACGGCAAGGCGCCCGCTCATGCATGGCCCAAAATGTGTGTGTGAGTGTGTGAGGCTAGGAGACCAGAAGGAGAACCGTTTTTTGTTTTTTGTTTTTAAATCGGGTCCAAGTGGCTGTTTTGGATGGCCGGAATCTCCTCGTCCATTTGTGCCATCACTCGGGTGGCAGAGGGTCCTTCCTTGACCATTACTCAACAGCCAGCTGTTTGGACTTGGACGAGAAGCCAGAATGACACACCCACCTAAAAGAGTGAGGGAGAGTCAGGTGGCGCTACATGGCCACCACTTCGCAGAGTGGCTCCACCATGCGTACCCTCGCGAGTGTCCCGCTCCGCACCATGCCGGGGTTTTGGGCGAGCTCCCCGAGGAGTATGAGTCACGCACTGGCCTTGAGCCGTCCTTGACGACTCAGAAAACCAAGGAATACCTTGAGATGTCCAAGTTGGACAGCAAGGGGGAGGGAACTTGCAATATTCCATGGATGTCGGAGAGCATGCTCCTCCCAGACTTGGAATGGAATGAGGAGCCACAACAGGCGAGGCGCCTCATGGAGTTGGGGAACATGGGCTCGCCAGCGGCTCTTGCTGGCATTGGCATGGTTCTTGCAGCCCTCGCCGGGCTGCAGCTGGCATTCAAGGCGCGAGCGGAAAGCATTTGATGCGATCTCGCAGCGACTCAATGCGGTGTGAGAAATCGGGTGCTGCTCACCTAGCTTGTGCATGTCATCTCATCCGTGGCAAATTGAAGATATTGCTCTTGCTAATGCTCTTGCTGGTGTGCATTTGGCTCAGGCACGTGGTGTTGTGATATGCAAATACATGATGTAGCATGTTGACGTTTGAGATCAATCCTGCCCAGTCTTTCCATTCTTGAAGTGGGAACGTCTATGGACTCGTTTACGTTACATCGGACACAGCCAGGCACGAGTGACAGACAATTTTCGGGGCGGACACAACCCGTTCCTGAATCCGTCTGCTTGCTGGAGCTCGGCGTTGCCAGGCGATTGTTTTGTCTCAAAATGCATGTGGCTTCTTGAGGGTACTCTTTTTGGACGGTTTTAAAGGGACATCTAAAGTTGGGGGTGATTTGAGACAAACCCTTGTGTCTCACACTTAAGAACCCTGACTCTGACCACTGATTGTCGTCGGTTTACTTGGGGATATTCCGGAATCTTCCGGGGAAAGTTTCCGATTGACTTGCGAGGCTGCCAATCTGGCTCCTTGCTTGTTCCCCTGGGTTCCCACAGGGGCTCTCTTAGTGATTCCGCTTTCCCAATGCTTAAGATTGGGCAACCCATTTTGAACAGCTCAGCCAATCCATGCTTAGCCTGCTCCTTGCCAGGCATGACGAGTCAAGATGGCAGGACTTGCTCGCGTTTTGTTGCCCACACCAGGATACATGTTCAGGAGAAATCTCCCGAGAGGGACTCAGAGCATGGGGAGTGCCAAATAACAGGCCTCCAAAGAGAGGGTATCTACCTGGATACTTGAAAATCCCCTGACCTCACATTGTGCTTTATGGGTTGGACTGGGACAGACCATGGGAACAGGAGATACATAACGTTCTCCAGGCCGGAGCGAATTTGACTCATGACTATGGGCTGCACATGACTACGCATGTACGAGCTTGCTTGTCAGATCACTGTGTGTGCTCAGGGAATCGAAGCCAGTCATCTCGCCCGCAGCGCTTAACGATCTTCAGAATGGCTTTCCCAACCGTTGCAAGCTCAGTTTCTTTGCAGCATGGGCCGTTCCCATGATGCTGCCGAGTTGTGACAGTTGGCATCGTGAAGCCTGTCCTCAGGCATCAGAACAACGAGGTTCACTTGGTTGACCTGGTAGAGGACTTAGTTGGTAGTGTCTTCAAATAGGGGACCCCAACAAGGGCTTCTTTTGGTTTCTCTTTGCAACTATCCCACAAAGGGTACCCTCGACCAGAAGCAAGTCTTTTCACACGGTGAACTTGCCGACAACGATCCATGCATTATGCAACGCCGAGGCTGCCGAAGTCGCTGTTTGCGCAATTTCACCGAGCAGAACCGACCTCACTTGATGCTTGCTACAGGGCATGCGTGGCTTCAAGTGCAAAGCTTGCCAGACTGGCCTGAGGCAAACATCTACTTCTTCTTCGTTAGCATCATTGTTTGTCTTCCCGACGGTCCTATGATGTGGCCGGGCCCGTAGTATGCTGTTACACTCCTCCAGACTTGTGTCACCTGCCAGAGCACTGAAACGAATGAATTAGCTTTCCTTATCGCGAAGCACTGACGCACTGGCACTGGAAACTCAGTTTTTGAGGTCCAGTACTGTTATCCCATTCATAGGAGTACTTCTATGGACAGCGTGCAAGGAGCGGTCGCCTGCGCAGCTGAATTCTCATTTCCTTGATGGACTGCTGCCTATGGCCCTGTAGGACCTCTATGAAGATTGGAGGCGAAAGCATGACGATGACGCTGAGAACTTGCGAAGGCCTTCAAGCATCGACCACGTTGGCAATGTTGAGTTTGTACGTTTGTACGGGTTGTGAGGTGTCTGCGATACAACGCAAAGACTAGCCAGTTCGATGAGGCTTGGCCACAGGAGCTCAATATATGGAGCCATGACACGAGCCTGACATGCTACTCCTTGAACTGCTTGGATGCAGGTCAGCTGGATGGATGTAGTAGTGGGCGACATTCTGCTCACGTTTGCAGATGAGGTGCACATGTTGAGGCAAAGAGTGAAAGCGGCGGGCCATGCGAATGGAAGGCTTTCCCCGCAGATGTGCTACTGGTCCGCGCAGCTGGCGGGCAGGCCTGGCCGTGCGCTTGAGCTTTGAATGCCTGAAACACATTGGGTCCCACGATGCTCGATAGCATTTGCTTGCGATGGTCATTTTGTGTTGGACTCGGTCAACTTCTGGCTCCAATTGGTTTCATTCATGCGGTCGGCACGAAACATCTCGAGGCTTTCATCTCCACCGTCAACTTGGATGGTGAGACGAATTTGAAGGTCTGGGTCCCAGTTTCATTGTGCGTGCGGGTATGTCCTAAAGTCAGGGAACACAGAAAAGGTGGATTCCTTTTGCTGTCCCCAAAAAAGCAATCAATGGGGCTTTCCTAAAAGAGAGACACCGGTGTGACCTCGCAAATATCGGGTTGGACACGGAGTTATACCGTCATCAGAAGGTGACGATTCACAGCTACGCTTGTTGCATGCAAAGTCAAGCAACTCTACAGGAACGAAGCGCGGCAGATTTGCTCTCTGCGCTGACCGACATGCCGGAGGACCCGCGATGCTGTGCACACCAGCTGGATGCTAAAGTGGGTATGTTTCAAAACCCTCCCCAGATTTGCAAACACCGATTCCTTTGTTGAAACCCATTCAGCAGTTGTGGCGAGCTGAGGGAGGACTGCAGGTCCCATAGAAAATACAGCAGAATAACTGCAAGTTGGTTTGCAGGCAGGGCCAGAAGTCAGCCGCGGGGAACTTACTTGAGGTTTCCCATGAACACCTGGCATGCAATCAGCTGATCGTGTTTTCGGGGTTCCTTGATGCCGTATTGCGTACCTATTGGGACTGAGGCGGCGACAAAGCCACAGAGCAGGTAATGCAGACCGCCGGACACTTGTTGTCTGCCTTCTTCTTGCTTAAAATATGCTTCTTTGCAGCCTGCCATGCTTGCAGACTCAAGCGTGCTTCCTTTGGATCGGCTCAAGTCCACATGGTTTTGGGCAAGTGCCACTCTTCTAGTTGGGCTTAGCAAGCCGCAGGACTTCCAGGGTCACATATTAACCCATATTGAGCTTGATTTGCTGCTTGCTGCTTCAAAGGCCGCACTCCTTGCCTACCAACGCAGGATGCATCCGTACTCCCTGCACTTTCACGAGCGGTCCATGGCCTAGCAGCATGTTCGCATACTGCCACGAGCGCTCTGCTCCTTTCAGCAAGGCCGCTCACGCTCATCAAATTCAATTATGATGGTCCAGAGCTCAATTCGCTCAGCGGGAACGCGCTTGACGAGAAGCGAACTCAGCTGAGGCGACTTCTTCATCACCTGTGGCAAGGATGGTGAGGTCAACTTGGTCAGAACAGAGACTTGTGAACGAGTAGGAACGCCACTTGAATGACTTTACGTGTTTGGATTCTCAGAGACCAGTTTGGACAATTCGGTGCTGTGTTTTTGAGACCCTGAGGTACGCACCGCCTGGGGAGAAGAGTGGTGCGGTCTTCGCCGTAGATGTGACGATGGACAGCACATACGTGGTTACAGCCAACGCAGACGGAAGCTTGACGAGTTTTTGATTGGGGTTTGTGGTTCATTTGGGATGATACACATTCAAGGCAAGCTTTGCTTCTACACCTTCCAGGCTTCTTGCCGGCAGATAGTTGCTTATTTGTCATGGTTTGAGCGTTGGGCATCCAAGGGTGAACAGCACCACACCATCAACCATGGCGGAGTCTTGAAGTACGTGGAATGGAATTTGCGGCTTTGCTGCCATCGTACTGTCAAAGCACAGTTGACCAAGACTTGATTGTGTGCAGAGTTCTTGTTGCCTTTCATGATAAGACCCCACAAACATGCAAAATGCACAACAGCTTTGGGACAAGAACTGCAATCCTTCAGCTATGCAGCCCGTGCGCTTTCATGCTGCTTGCAGGGTATGCTCATGGGTTAGCCTTGCTTTCTACACTGACTTGGAAAGGAAGCCTGGGGAGCAGAACATGGTTTGCACCTGCAACGCTTCTTGGGTGCAGTAAGCAAGCAAGTTGTCTGCCCCAACAAGAAGCGATGTATGCAAGATGTTAGATGTTTGTGATCATTTGAGCAATCAATTGATGGCTTGAGGACAAGTTCAAGAGCCAATCAGAGGGCCTGGTGCCGAACCGCATCATGATTTGGCAGTTCGATCCTCCTAAGCGAATTCTGTCGATCGACGACCAGCTGCCAATGAAGGCCACCAAGGTGACTCTGCTGCAAGGGCTTGGTTATTTCAAGTGGGCAACCCGCTTGACCAGCGCCCAAAGCCCTTATGAGTGGGCGGTTCTAGTACCTGGTTGAGATTATATACAACCTTTGGGCGCCGCTCACTTGCAGTAGGTTGTTTGGACTGTTCACGAAGGAAATCATGTTCTCACCAAGATAGTTAAGCTGCTCCGCATGGCCATTAGGGTAAATGTGGGGCGGGCAAGCGTGATGTGCGACCTGCCACAAAGAGAGCCCCAGTCTGCATGAAGCAATCATGATCAGATCCAACGATGGCAAATAAGTTTTGGTTCTCCTTTGCCTTGGCCAAAATCATCACGACAGCATGAAGAAGAGGCAGGGGGGTCCTTGGATTTGTTGGGTTTATCAACTGGATCAACTATGTTTGCCGGTGTTGCATGCTCAATCCAAGAACCCCCCATGTGTTCTCTCTCGGATCGACATTATTTTGGTTGACATTTAAAGGGGTACCAAAAGAAATGCCACCATTTTAGGAGATGTCAAGGACGCACCTTTTTCCAGTGCTTTTCCATCACACGAGCCGTGGGTGTTTCTCAACAAATGGCACCCCTTCAGGTGGTTGGCTTGCTTTTGGTTTCTTTTTCAAACTATGCTAAAAGGGGACACGCGTTTTTGGAGAAACACCCGAATGGTTTCAAGGGACTATTGGAAGCCCATGGAGGGTGCCCCAGTGGCCCAAGGATTTTTGTTTTACGGTACCTTTTGAGGTTTACAGGGAACCAGGAGGCCCCGAATTTTGGGAGTTCCCTGTTTCCTTTCCTTGGCACAAACCCACTTTTTCTAGAACTTGACACCGTTGGTACGATTTCGCGAGGCGCTCTTGGCACGGGACCATCCAATCCCCTGGGTCTGAGGGACCCCCACCAATGGTTGGCTTTCGATTTTGAACTCATGTTGCACAATTTCAGGCTGTCTCAACAGTCCAGAAGGAAGTTGCGAGCTGGGACGATCTGCGTTCGTTCTCATTCCTTCCTCTCGCATATGCATGCAGCGCTGGGACTGGTCTCTGAGCCAGAAGGTAAGTTGAGACATCTTGACTCAGCTCCAAAGATGTCGGCCCAGCCTTTCCAGGACCAATCCTAAGTAAAAAAGGGAATGGTTTCGAAACAATGCTTCAGCCAAGGTGAAGTGGGGTGCATTTGATGAGACGCTCGCCGCTGCCCTAGACTTTAGGTGATGTACTGTGTTCTAAAGTGGACATCGCCCACGTTTCGATTTTCCCAAGAAGACAGCAACGGGGCATGAGTTCTTTTCTGTTTTCGCAGACCCAGTTAAGATGCAGTGTAGAGGACTTTGAACGGAGTCGGCACAGGTCTCCATTTTTGAGGAGGGCACTGTGATCATTTGGGACTCTGTGGATGGGAAACAGCTGCAGCTCATCCAAGCGCACCAGATGGCGATCACTAGCCACCCGGAGTCGAAACAAGCCGAACAATCCAAGGATCTGACTGGGCTGTCTAGCTAGGGGGAGCCAGAAATGAGAATTAAACAGTTTGGTGGGTTAAAGCTGGGTTAAACAGAGAACCGATTGAATCGCCGCCTGCAACTCGCCAGTTAGCTCGGCTCAGCTAGTTAGGCATGAACTTCACGGAGGACAGAATGCTCATGGCGACCTGCTCCAAGGTGGGATCAGAATACTCAGTGTGTGTGTTTTTGGAGGGTACCTTTTTTGGTGGTTTTCAAGGGAAGCCACCCAGACAACACACATTTGATGGCCTGCGGCCTGGTTCCGCCGCCCCCATACACCTTAGAATTTCGGCCCGGGGCGAGAGAAAGCGCACGTGCACAGACCCTTCCGCGAACACGAAGACAGACACAGATACGTAGACAGACACAGACAGACACAAAGAGACACAGAAAGACACGCAGGGGGGGGGGAGGGTCTTCGCGGACACGAAGACAGACGCAGATACGTAGACAGACGCAGACAGACACAGACAGACACAAAGAGACGCAGACAGACACGGACAGACACGCAGGGCGGGGGGTCTTTGGACACGAAGACAGACGCAGATACGTAGACAGACACAGACAGACACAAGACAGAAACAAAGAGACACAGACAGACACGCAGGGGGGGGTGTCTTCGCGGACACGAAGACAGACGCAGATGCGTAGACAGACACAGACAGACACAAAGAGACACAGAACGACGCGCAGGGGGGGGGAGGGTCTTCGCGGACACGAAGACAGACGCAGATACGTAGACAGACACAGATACGAAGACAGACACAGACAGACACAAAGGGACACAGAAAGACACGCCGGGGGGGGGGGAGGGCGGGGTGGAGGGGGGCGGGGGGAGCGGGGGGAGGGGGGGGAGGGGGGCGGGGGGGCGAGGGTGGCGCATCCAGAGATCCAGAAATCCAGCCGACGTATTTTCCCGCCCCAAGGGGCACACACACATTATATATATATGTATATATTCATAATTATATTCACATTAAACCCAAAGGAAACATATCAACAAAAGCAACACACCGCCCCCATGCCAAAAGCATTGTCCATTCTGGACCAGGCATGGGGTCGGCGGATTCTTTGGGTGGCCCTCTTTGACACACACGCATACCTAGTTGGGCATTAGTTTTCATTAAGGGGATCCTGTGGACATTTGAGTGCTTGTCAAAATGATGGACCAGTTCTAGTTGGTATTCAAAACGGAACCAACATGAAATCATGCAACCATTTTCGGGCCCTATTTTCAGAAACTCCAGTTGGGCTTGAATTCATGCAGGGACGTCATGTGCAGCTTAAAATTTGTCCACCAGTTGCACAGCCATTTATTTGTTTGGGTGGCAGAAGGTTCTGACATGACTTGGATGAGGATGGATCCGCCAAGCTCTGGACCATGGATGACTATGCGTGCATCAAGGAGTCAATTGCCTGAAAGAGGGAAGGTGCAATGAAAAACAGCCTGTCAGAACACATCAGACATCAGCGTCTTGTTGACGTGGACTCTTAGCCTCAATGCTGGCATTGTTCCAAGGTTCAAGACGGACAGGCCGTTGAACGACGTTGCCATTTCCCCCCTCTACTGCTCTGAGACGGCGGGCTGAGTTTGTTGCTTCGGTTGTTCGGCCTAGACGCGATGCCAAACTGCCCTGCCAGACGCAGAAGATGCATTTGCTCATGGGCGGTGGCCAGGATGCCAAGGAGCCGATGAAAAGACTTTGACCACCACCAGAATCACCAGACATGTGGATACTGCTCATCAAGAGATTCGGACCCCCGAAATGATGGCTTGCCTTTCGCCTTCCCTTGCTGCTCGAAAAGGGCACCCTCAGCAGAAACACCGCTGGAGTTGGACACGCACACATGTCATTCCCTGATTTACCTCACCCTTTTGCTCTTTTGCCCCTTTGCCCTTTTGGGTTTCCGTCATTCTCCCATTGCTTTTGGGTCAAAGTCTGGCCTGAGATGGCGCCAGGATGTGGCGGTGTCCGGCGCCAGCGGTGCCTTTGAGGTGGATGTTGCATGAGCAACAGATTACTGGCAGTCGATTGGTGAGAGGACGAGAAGGGCTCACCCAAGATGCCCGAAAAACCAGGTCCAATCATTTTTTGTGAACAAGTAGTTTCGTCTTTTCACACGTTTGTTGAGTCAAGTGATTTCTTGGTGAGCGCCAGCAAGCCATTGTCGTCAGACACAGCCTTGTAGGCGCTGCTTTGGCATATGGTCTACGAGGAGGAGATAGGTTCAGTCAAGGGGCACATCGGTCCCTTGAAGCTTTGAGTTACTTCAGTATGTTCAGTCGGGGTGTTTCGGTTGTTTTGAGCTATGAGCAAAGCGGAGCGTCTGTCATTTGCGCTGAGCACACTCACCTCAGGAACACCATGGCATGGTTTCGAGATGGAGCGGGCTTTGTCACAGGTGGCGAGGACGGCTACGTCAGAGTACACCATTTTGACAAGGACTACTTCACGGCCAAAAAGTATGAATGAGTTTGTCTCGTCTCACTCCTATCTCAGCAATCTGTAAGACTGGCACAAGACTGGCATAAGACTGGCACTATGCACGTCACCAGCGCCTGTGGTAGAAACAAATACCGACTCACAGAATCTGGTCACTGAGGCATCACATGGTGCCATGGTTGATAGTCATTCTTGTGGTTGAATTTGCTTCTGTCTCCATGTTAAGGCCGTGAAGACGGCAGAGCACCTGTTTGCAGAAGGTCTGGAGGCGAGGGATACCTAAAGTGGCCAAGTGGCGCCAAGTGACGCCGAGTGGCGCGGGGTGGCCGAGTTGCATCGCACGGCATTCAGGTGGAATTGCAAGCGCCCAAGCCCGTCCTTACAGACATGGAGGGGTGCGGAGCTTGGTACCAACCTTTTGCTCCATCCGTGTTCGCCGTGTTCCAGATAGGGAACCTCTACGGTTTTCCTCTTTCTCTTTTGGATTCATCCAAACATGGTTCCCCATTTCGAGAGACCCATGCCACAAAGCTATGCTTTCTCGAGCACGATTCGGCCTCCAGGTCGTTGAAGCTCAACGCAGCATCACCCAAAGCTACGGCAAAGATGTCTGAGTTGGAGGCGAGATGGAGTCGAGTTGGCACAACTTAGGATTGGGGAGGCTTAACTGACACCACAACTTGTCATTTGACTGCTTCACTGGAACTCCGCTTTGCAATGCATCCAGGTGAAGGTGCCATGCAAGCTGAGCTACGAACTCTTCGTGCCTCGCGGATGCGTGCTGCGGAACACACTGTGCGCCAGACAGAGCTCCGATTTGGGGGTCCATCACAGACTCTCCGTTTTGAGGTACGTGATTTCGATTGCTTCCTTCTGCGGTTCGCATACAAAGACGAGGCTGTTGTCGAGGGACAGCGCGTGGCAAAGCGGAAAAGATTGCTATGGAACTTCGCAAATGGTGGACCCCGTTTTGGTTGGTATTTAAAGGGACACAAAAAGGAAACCAGCCATTGTAGAGGATCATGTTTTGAGAAACGCCCCTGTCGCCATCCAGCCGATAAAGCATTGGGCCAGGCTAAATGCAGCCGAAGCAGTGGGCAAGGCCGGAAATGGTCACGCCGCATTTTCCGATGCCTTTGTCCGCAGGTGTCCAACATGCAGGTGTATTTGAACCGCGGCGTTCAGGCTTGAAGCCTACGGAATGCTTTGTGTGCATGATGTTCGCCATGTGTAGAGACTTGAACGGCTGCGCCCTCTTGAGCTCTCAGGGATTGGTTGTGGCACTGATCCTTTGGTGCACGTATTGCGCCACGTCTGCTGAAATCCAGGCGGGATTTAAGTCTGCTTCACGCGCTCAGTTGAAATTTGTGGCGGCTACCATGTGTGCCAATGGGTCAAAACATCCTTTTGCGCGTGGTTCGGGGTTGTCATGGAGCAAGTAATTTGGACAAGGAGTTTTGACCACGGCACACGTGACAGGGTGTGGACGATGGCAAGAACTGGATACTCCGCTTCCTGTTCTACTGGACTGGCGATGTTGCTTGTGTGTTTGGTGCGGATGATATGGCAACATTGGGTATAGATGTTAATGGAGGACCCTTTTGTCGACATCATTTCCGTGGGGAGTTATGTCCAACCAGTTTGAGGGGCTCCAGACTCAAGTTAATATTAAAAAAAAAACACAGCCAGTTGGCTGCTTCGAACTGAGCAGCATCCTGCCACCACATGTCCACTGACACAGAAGCCTCTTGGAAAAAACAAGTGGCGGCATGCCTCCCATCTGCGTTCAAGGCTATCAATTGCCCGTGCACTAAATGCGAACCAATATGAACCAATATGATGCTCTTGACTTCTAACTTGCTTTGGAAGATACCGTACCCATCTCAAGGATCATTCTGTACCAGATCATCCCCATCAGTCTCTATGTGTTCTTCGAGATCGCACGGGGCCACAAGCTTGTCGGGCGCTGGCAAAGACCTTGTTAACTTTTTGGTTGTCCGAGGGTACCTTTTGGGGTTGTTTGTAGGGAAACCAAAGGGAAACAACCAATTCTCGGGAACTGCTTTGTTTCTTTTTGGTTTCCCTTTAACACCAACCAAGAGACACGACATGGATATCTTGTTCATGGCTTCATGCCAAGATCAAGCTGATCCTCGGCTTCCAGATCAACAAGGATCCCGCCATGGTCGACCCGAGGAGCTTCAGAATTTTCCGATCGGCTTCCGATCGCCTGAATCAGCGCTGGATGTATGTCCAATGCTCAGACCGGCAAAAAGAGGCGTGTTCTAATCAGCGAATTGGTTGTGATCGCTTGCACCGAAGACAATCAACGTGTTTTTTCCTTGCGATCGAACCCACTACTCGCTGAGGGGGCCACCCAAAATGCGTAGGACGAAACTCGGGGCTTGCGCAAGAACTGCGGACTTGGTGGAGGAGATGGGGCAGGCAATGAACTTTGCAGCGATCCCTGGCACTGGCACTGCCATGTCCAGGTGAATTTCGTGTTCTCAGACAAGACTGGCACCCTCACCGAGAATGAGATGGTGTTTGCACACTGCTGCGTTCGGCCCCCAAGCGTGCATCACCCAGTGTCACTGGATGACTCCGAAGGTGTGCCACGGCAAAGAGGATGCGCGAGAACTTGGCGATTTCAGAAGAGACAAGAAGCTGGCGAACCCGCTGGAGGAATCTCAGACCTTCAAATGCCGTTTCTCGAACCGCCACATAGCTGGCCACATAGAAACCGCACCTGCGGCCACACCCGCGCACAATGTGTTGGGAGTTGTTCTAAAGGCCCTTACAAGGAGTTTAGTGTTCCGTGACCATCGGTGTTGGTTGAGGTTTTGCGAAAGATTCGCGATGGAGTTGCGAAAGTACCTTGCTGTTCTTTACATAGCTGTTGATGTTGCGAGTTGGTGACATATGAACGCGCTATATATTTTGTGTAGAACCCTCCTTCTATCGTAGTTTCATGAGATTCCTCCATTTCCTTTGGAATAATTACTAACTTGGTACGGCAATGAATCCGGCAAAGTATGAACTCACATAGAGGCATAGAGGTGTTCCCTACAAATGGGCCATTTCGAGAAAAATAAAAAATAAAAAAATAAAACAATCCCCATGTGAGAAAGCGCTTTGGAATGAGTTGATGCTGAACATCCTTCTACCACGGCTGAACACAAGTCGCCGTTGTGACAAGCAAAGAAATGCTCTGGAGCACGTATTTCTGCTTTTGCTCCCCAAGCATTCACAGTCATGTGCTGAAAGAATTGCAGCATGGCCACAGCATCAGTGCGCAGAGATGGCTTTACCAGTCACGTGCAGCTGTTGCTATTTGGAGGATGTAGACATTGAAGTTGATCTGTTGATTTGTCAATTTGCGCACCCTATTCATATTGGCAATACTTTCCATCTATATAAGAGCGTGTATAGAGTCGTGCATGGCTTTTGGGACCGCCCTGTGGCTTGTACAACAATGAAGAGACAACATACAACAACACTCATGGTAAGGTTTTTCGCGCGAATCTTGCTGCTGGGCATATGCGTTCAACGTCAGAAGGATAACACTTGTTTGCATAAAGTCACATGCTGGCTCACAGCCCAGAGCCGTTACACACACACACACATCTCCCCAATGCCGTGCGTCGAGACACGAGAGGGGGCTTGTAGGCAGACCCTTCCTTTCTGCTTGTCTTAACTCATTCGTTCCAAGCTGACACAATAACTAACTGTAAATCGCATGATGATCGACAGCTGGCAAAGAAGCTTGGGCAAGCAACCACAACATTAGGCTTGCAAGAACCCAGTCTGCTTCTGACGCGGAATCATTTGAGTGACGTACGCCCTGACTTCAAAATCATTTTAGGTTTGGATTCACTGTTTGGCCTGCAAAGGACAAGGACACCCACGATTGCACGTTGCAACGCATAGAACCGGGAAACATTCAGCCGAAGCAACGCAGAAGGAGATATCACGAAAGGTAGCCTCAAGGAGACATCACGCTTGAGTTTGTCCTTGCGTTAAGGCTAGACTGAGGGGGTCTGGGGGTCGGCCCGGCCGCAAAACCAATGAAAATATCGGCCCCCCTCCCCCCCCCCTGCGTGCCTGATTGGCAGCTTCGCTCCTTTGTCCAATCTATTCGCTCGCTTTGCTTCAGACTTCGGTCCGCTATGCGCACCAAGTCACAGTGCACGTTGTCCCTTGCTCGCTTTGTCAGTGCCCTACTTTACATGGTCAACAAGCACTTCCCTTTTTTGCGGAACGGAAATTGCCTCTTAACTTCGCCAAGCTGTTGAGCTGAATGGTATTCGATGCAAGCCCCTTCCCTTTTTTCAGAGGACACATTAGGGGAAGCCACTTTATGACACATTAGGGGGACTTCTTTACGGTATCGTACCTTTCGTGTCTCCCCTTGAACTTGTCAAGCGCATCAAGTTTAGCAAGAGGTTTTGCCGAGACTTTGCGAGGATGCAGCTGGAGTGGCCGAAGCAAAGCGCATCCTGGCGAATCCCGACGACCCACATCACTTGGAGGCAAAGGACACCACATGTGCCGTGTTCAATTTGACTTACTTGGGTTTTGGATTGGCCCTTCATAGGGGAATTTAGACTGTTAAGAGGTTATGGGAACCAGTGACCGAAGACAACAACCCATATACGCAGTCTTGACATTGCTTGCCCTGACTTCCTGCCAGGTTCTTTGGTTTTTCGCGAACCTTGCTACAAATCACTCAGTTCAGGTTCGGCCGGCACATTATATACTTGTGAGGCCTACACAGAGTGTTGAATCTTAAAAGCAGCATGGAAGGTTGAAGGAAGCGACGGTGACAAGAAGTTCGAGGGCAGCTCCGCTGATGAGGCGTGGCGCTAAGCAAGACTCAGCATGCCATTATTGTTGAGTGAATGGGAATCCAACGCCACCAGCCATAGGTTGCCTTCGTAGATGCTGCAAAAGCAGCGGGCATCCAGCTCAGCAATTCCTTTACCGCACCGCAGTGAGAGCGAGTGCTGTTTTACCAGGTGTCACTTTCACATCCCGAACTCGCGTGCCGGGAAGCAGCGCTTCCGCTGGGAGCTCAACAGCTGGGTGCATCTGTTTTGAGGGCACCCTTTTGAGGATTCTCGTGGTCATTCAGGGGTTCCCCTTTCAGACAAACCCGGCTCAGCAGAATTTGCTGGCCGAAGCGCTCTGCTCTCAGGAAGTGGTGGTTCAGGGGCCTGGCTCTTCTGAGTCCAAGTTCTTAGTTCTTTGACGGGAGCTTAGACTCTGAGACAAGATCTGTGCCGCGGTCAAGCTCCTTACGTGAGTCATGGTTATGGTTCCCTTACACTAGGAACGGTTTCTAAACAGAAAATTAAGAGCCCCATGACCCTGTACCATGACCCATACAAGGAGTTTTTTTTGACCATGGTGGATCTGGTTTGCGTGTCCAAGAGAGCCGAGCTCGAGATTCACTGAGGTGAGATTCCATTCTCTTCAGATCGGAAGCGTATGACAGTCATTGTGAAACACAAGGGTGGGAGACCCAGAGTTGGCCCTTCATTTTCTGGTGCTTGACCTTTCGGCGCACACCCATTGATGTTTGGGGTCGGAGGCATATTCGGCACAGACATGTGCTCAGGCGAGTATTGGTGCATGTGCAAGGGAGCGGACAACATCATGGGGCACGGCTCCAAGTTGTGATGGCATTTATTGGAGGGACGTGAGGGACGTGTGTCCAAGCTCTGTTGCAAGGCCTTTGTGTGACCGGCCTTTGACTGGCTGATAGCTAAGTTGCAGTCGCTTCTCAGCACGATGGTTCATGCTTGAGCTTGCATACTGCAGGTGCCATTGGGGCAAGTCTCACAACTTACTCGAAGCTGGGTCTACGAACCCTGGTGGTG